GCTGCGCACGCTCCGTAACGTAGACTAAAACTACCAATAGCGCGAGTGAGCGTTCCAATTTGAAATTTAAATCCAATTTGAAATTTAACGCGAGTGAGCGTTCCAATTTGAAATTTAAATAAATTTTAACAATTTGTATAGAAAGCAAATTCGAGCCTCACAACCCCAACGGAATAACCCGTCACACGACGACCCCTCCACGGTAGATCTAAATATAAATAAGCGTAGCGACATAGAAGAAAGAGAAATAATTGCTTAGTTCGGAGTAGTTAATTTCTCAGTTTTGTGTGATTAGTTCGTCAGTTTTTGGCGATTAATTGGTTCTTGGTTCTTGGCGATCAGTTGCCCATTTCTTGGCAAGTAATTTCTTATTCATAGCGATTAATTCTCAATTCCTTTAGCTCTTAATTTCTCAGTTCCTTTGCCTTTTAATTCTTTAGTTCCTTAGTTTTTTCAGCTCTTAGTTCCTTTAGCTCTTAGTTTTTGCTCTCAACTTTTAGGTTCTTTAGTCCTTTAGTTCTTTAGCTTTTAGTTATTTGTTTCATTGGTTCCCGGTGCTTGTTAGTCTTGTTAATCGACGTGTTTGTATTTGTCAATTTGTAAACTATCGAAGATCCATGAAAATTAAAATCTTGTAATTAATAAGAGTGAAAACGTATTGCGAACGATTGTAACTCCGAGTATTCGAAATTTCAACGACAATTCTGTCGATATCCAATTACAATACGAATAAACATTTTTTTTTTTGTGAAGAATATTTGTCTAATAATATAATAGGATTAAGCGAACGTTTATTTTCACCAACTTTAATCCTCTCCCGTGCCAGTACTCCTGCGCGTAGCAGGTTAGCCGAAACGTGGAGTTTAATTGCCAGTCGCATTAAATAACAGACAACACTACAATTTATTCTGAATTCAAGATTAACGGCAACACAACCAAAACGAGCCAAACAAAACGTAACACTATAATACTAATAATGATAACACTAAATAATACTATAGTTTAAAAAATTCAGTGGAATAATAATAATAATAATAATAAATAATACTACAGTTTTAAAAATTCAGTGGAATAATAATAATAATAATAATAATACTGAATAATACTATAGTTTCAAAAATTCAGTAGAATAATAATAATAATAATAATAGTAATAATAATACTGAATAATACTATAATACTAATACTAATAATAATAATAATAATAATAATAATAATAATAATAATAATAATAATAATAATAATACTGAATAATAATAATACTGAATAATACTATAATACTAATAATACTAATAATAATAATACTAAATAATACTATAATAATAATAATAATAATAATAAATAATACTACTTTAAGTAAATATTACTTTTACTTGCTACGTCGTATTTATCGCTATCGATGCTATTGTACGATCATTTTAGAAGCACAAAGTGACAAAGGTGGACCGTGGTTCTCGAAAATATCGCTAAGTACGATACGGCACAGTAACGATAAATAGACGGAAATATCAGGTTGCAGAAATTTATAAAGTAAAATGTTACGCGTAGAAAGTCGAATTTCGCAAAAAGTAAACGATCCAAGAGTAGATTCGGCTGTAGATGGAAGACCTCCTAGAAGCGGGTACGCGCGAGGAATTCCGAACGTTTTGCACGTAGGAACGAACGAGGGGCCATAATGGCAGCCGGTCGGGTAAAACGGATGACAAAGAGGCTTTAACGATGTCCGCGGTGTGCTTGGTTGAGTGACGCAGGACACGAGCCCGCGGCCCTTCTTTCCTCCTTGAAAGAGACGAGAAAACGAGCGCGCGTGTACGCCAAGACGAAGCAGCAACGAACACGGACCACGCACGTCGTACGAAGAAGCTACTCGTTCCCGTGCGGTTTTTTGCCGCGACTGTAATTGAGCCTGTCTCGTCGAGCTACCGTCTAAATGAATTACGAGGCGCCGTGCACGGCACGAGCCCTATCCCCGGGGCCATTACACTTTTTTCCCAAATCACCGCGATTCTTCTGCGTCCATTGCTAGACTCTTCTTTTTTCTTCGTCGTTTCGCGTCATTTTTTCTTTCAACTTTCGTTTCGTCTCGTTTCGTTTGGCTTCAGCGGAAGAAACTGGAAACTCTTGTAAATCGCTGCGAGTAGGAAGCAGTAGCACGCGTTATACGCTTACAAAGAATGCCTTTGTGATTATGATTCAAAGTTCGTCGCTAATTAAGCGCAGCCTGAAAAGTCATATTCCGCGAAGAGAAATACCGAGTGGGCGGCTCGATCAAAGAGACAGCAGGGAAATCGCAAGCTGGTTGCAATTAACCAGGAGGGAAAAAAGCCTCCGACTCGCGTCTATCCTTTCATAAATCACCAACGAACGAACTCTGATTCTATAGAATCTCTAAATCCATTTACGTATTTTATTTTACTTTTTAATATCGTTGAAAAGAAATTCTGACATATCATGAGTACATCCAATGATATAAAGACTCGGTCTGTTCGTTGTTTAAGTTTTTCTACGTTTATAGGCAGAAAGAAATAATTCATATGATATCTGACGTCGATGTTTGAAACTAGTTACTACTCGCGAATACGTCGATTACTTATTATCGACGCGGACGAGATGCTAAGGGTTGGTCGGTAAGGTTACCGACATTGTAAAGGGGAAATATTTATCGCTGGCGTAGATGCCACTAAATAATCAAATTCAAATCTCGCGCGCAATTAATTTCCGGATTTCATTCGCAAGCAAGAAACGAATAATTTCTACCACGTATAATGATTATATATATATCGGAAGCTGCAGCATGCAAAATTTTCTAGTGTTCTTACTATTGACAACTATCAAAATTTATGCTCGTTGTTTATCCTATACACTCATTCTAATGTAGATTCTCTCGATTACCCAAACATGTTCTTTGTAAACTATGATAAAATATAGTTTGAATAAAGAAAGATGAACGCTGATTTATATTTTACGTACCAATTTCATTAGTCGACTGCAAGCTGGTACTTGGACGTGTTCTCTATACAGATTTTTCCGTGTATCAACTATAAAATCACAATAAAGATATTTCGTTATTCATTATTGCTCTAAATAATAGTTCTTCTCTCGTACAAGTTTAATCCTATTGTATACATATAGCAAATTCTTTTTCGTTGGACACATATGCTCCGAAAAAGTTTGAGAACAAAAGCTATGCCGATAAATATAAACCTATAATATCATATATTTCATTGAGAATATAATTTAAAAAACAGAACCTAGCAAATTGTTTTACCCAGCAAGTATTATAGAAAATACTATATTTAAATATTTTACGTATTTCTTCATATCATATAAATTTTGTACAATTTTGCACTTTCATATTTCCTATAGATATATAAGAATCCTCAGTCTACTTATGATTATAATAACTATCAAGAGAGAAAGAAAACTCACCGTTATTTTCATTAACGACGCAAATTCAAGCACAAATTTCATTTTTGCAAGTACACGAAAATGCAAAGTTATTAACTACTTACTAATTTCGAGATTTAGTCGTTGAAGCACGTCATCATCGCTCGAACGCTGTAATTGGCTCGTCACCGCCAGCTTGACCAATCGCGTTACCGCCTGAATTTGTATACAATACAAGAGAGAATATACAATACGAGAATGTACAGAGAATATAAGAATACAAGAATTTAGAATAAATTAATCAATAATAATTTTATTAACTTGATGATAAAAACTTAATAATACATTAAATTAAATTTTATTATCGCACAATCTGTCTTCTATCAGCTATAATTATTGTTTATATTACATCAGGACGTGTGTGATTCTTATAACCTATAAGCCTTTAGTTTTGAAAAGTATTTATTAAGTACAAGGTATTTATTGAAACGTCAAAATGTTACGGAGACAAGCGAGGCTTCGTAGAGAATATCTTTACAGAAAATCCATTCAAGATAAATTAAAAAGCATTCAAGAAAAGAAGGAAAAACTTAAACGCAGCCTAGAGCAAAATATACCTATACATCCAGATCTAAGAAAAGATGCTTTGAACATACAAAAACAATTAGCTTGGGAAGATGCTGGACCAGAAATGGCTGTTGCTATTGGAACAGAAATGGGAGGTGTTGTGGGATCTCACGAAGATGATGAATATCGTTGGGCCGGAGTTGAAGATCCAAAGATTGTGATTACCACTTCTCGCGACCCAAGTTCCAGATTGAAAATGTTTGTCAAAGAATTGCGTTTGATATTTCCTAATTCTCAAAGAATGAATCGAGGAAACTATGAAATGAAACAATTGATACATGCCTGCAGAGCAAACGACGTTACAGATTTCATAATTGTGCACGAACACAGAGGCGTGCCTAATTCTCTTATTATTTGTCATCTTCCCTATGGACCTACTGCATATTTCACCATGTCGGACGTTATTATGAGACACGATATTCCTGATATTGGAACCATGTCTGAACAATATCCTCACCTTATATTTCACAATTTCAAAACAAAGTTAGGTGAACGTGTTATGAGTATTTTAAAATATTTATTCCCAGTACCAAAAGAAGATAGCAAAAGAATAATTACTTTTGCCAATCATGATGACTACATATCCTTCCGGCATCACACTTATAAAAAGATTCATGGAAAGGCCATCGAACTGGTAGAAGTTGGTCCCAGATTTCAATTAAAATTATATCAAATTAAATTAGGTACTTTGGATGCAGAAGCAGCAGCTGATACGGAATGGGCATTAAGACCTTACATGAATACTAGCCACAAGAGAAGATTTTTATCTAACGAAGATGGATGGCAACAAGAAGATGATATTTAAATTTGTGTGCATTTCTTTTAATTAATTCCGACGAACTTGATAATGTAAATAATACATTTTTTTTATAACATATTCTAGATTTATTATTTTTTTATCATTAGATCTACTAAATTTATTATTCTAGATTCTTATCTTTTTAAATAATGTAAACTATTACTTTTATATCTTATAAGTTGGAAAGTTTATGCAACTTTTAGAACAATCTATGTTTTCCACAAAAACTAAAATCAAACACTTATTTTTAAATTTCGCGCGTTGTGTCCTAAATGCGTAACTCACGTTGCGCAGTGCATTCTGGTTTCCTTCGTAGCAGTTGTTTTTGAAATCACCATAAAAATAAACAAAGTTTGGGGTTTGAGGAGTAATTTCTGTTGGGAAAAGTGCTGAAGATTTGAACAGATGCATTTGCAACAAAAAAGCAAGAACTTATTAGCGCGTGATGCGCGCCAATGTTCGTAAGCCCGCGAAATCTGAGAGAACGCCACGGCACAAGAAGCTTCGACAGCAACGAAACGACGCTATGGATATGTTCGTGACTCCGAAACGTCAGAAGAATGACGGTGAGATCAGCTTTCACTTTATAGGGAGAGATATTTGGTAGACCAGTTGCTTGTTTGCTCGTATCGCTTGCAGTATTCCGCATGATTTGCGCGCGTTCGTAGCAAATTTATCAATTTCTTTGCAATATTTACTCCAATTTGCGTTTTGGTTACTAGCGCTTTTGTCCGTAGCGGAGAGTCATTAAACTAATGATGTGTACAATTCATTCGTAGTCAGGTTTTTTAAATTTGAGAAATTTCATGAAACAGAAACAGGCTCCAATGAGAGAACGATTATTACAAAAAACAAACAGATAAAATTTTATTCGAATAAATGGCAATTGCCTTGTACTCATAATTTGAAGTAATTGTAATACTCGTTATGTTCGTTCCAATATGTAGAATGTTTATGTACATCAGGTATAAAGAAAGTTCTTTGTACTTATGTGTATGTAGTAAAATTTATGTGACATATAATACGCGTCCACGAGATCTAATAATTGGTATCAGACACATCTAGTTAAAAAATTTCAAAATATCGATCAAAAAAATTATAATACAAACAAGTATACAGTGAACTACGTTTGGATACCCATGCACACTCTTCGTGTAAAGTACATTTGCATAGAAATAATGATCTTGAATCCCAGAAGGTTATGAGAGTGGTAGTTAGATCTTACAAAGTATTTTGGTCCCTTTCTCTTTCTTGGCAAGGTGCAGTCCGCTTTATCTTTCAGATCTAGAGGTCACGGGTATCTCCCGCAGTGGCCGTGTGAGAAAGAAATCTTCCAAACTCGTTGACTTTGAATCGCCAGATGATTTTACGGATAACAAGTACAAACGTCAAAAAGCACAACAATTACAAAATCAACAATTATTGGACAGATATGATTCCCAACGTATGTCACCAAATCAGTCGATCCAACATGCAAGTAGTGGAAGACAAAGGAAGAATTCAAATTCCAACTCTGGACAGCAAAGAGTTAAACAAGAGACATTGTCAGATAACGAAGGGCAGTCTTCAGGGTCAGAGTCTGACGATCCCTCTGGGTTAAATGAGGATGAAAGATATAGTATGGATTCTGGAAGCGACGATGACGTTGATCCTCTTATGATAGATGATAGAGAAGCAGGGTTTAGAAAGCTTGAACCACCTGGCCAAGAAACACCTTCACAAGCAAATAGTTTGTACATGCTTGAGAAATGTAAGAAAAAGCTAATTATTAAAGATGGCAAAATAATAGGTAGAATGAAGGCACAACGTAAAGACAAAGGGGTATGTACACATGAAAGTTACTAAGGGGATGATTATTTCACAATTCGATGATGTTTTCAGAAAACGAGATTTACCGCGTACATGTTGTGGGCTAAAGAAATTAGGCAAGAGTTACTAGAGCAATGTCCTTATATGGGTATATAAGCTTCACTCTTGTTTCTCCTTACTATGTATGGTCAGTTTAGAAAACCGATGCTAATATTATTCGTGAAACGTTGCTTTTTGTAGATTTTGCAGCAATTTCTAAACGTTTAGGAGAACTGTGGGCTACAGTACCAAATCTGGAAAAATATAACTGGCGCAGACGCGCAAAACGCTTGGCAGCAAAACCTCATTCTTTACCGAGTAAAGATGAGCCTGTTTGGAAAATGCCGCCGCCTGCTTCGCGAAAAAAATTCATTAATAAAATTGGTGGGTTTGTTGGTTCTCATGTATACATCATTTTTACGAGTATATCTCTAAAAGTTATATGGTAGTTTATTCATCTTGATTTGCTTCTCGTGCACGCGTATTAGTCAAAAGTCTTTCAAATAATATATCATTTATATGTTTTATGCCTCTGAGAATTATATGGTAGATGTCTTATTATCATTTGTTTTGTATGCATGTATCTCGTTTAGAGATAGGCAAATCGAACAACACAATGACATTTGTAACATTTTATGTTCTGTCTTTCTTTGTATTACAGGTAATGGGAAAGAGCAAAAGCCTGCTACCTCCAAAAAAACTATTCAACTAGGTCTACCCTCGGTTGTAGGAAATGTTCCGGTATCGCCGCCGTCGAATCGGACTGGGAAAGATTTAGTTAACGAACCAATGATAGGAACAGGAATGTACAAAGTCGTTGGTACTCAACCTATCGATGTAGCTGCTCATCTCAAGCTTCTCGGTGAGAGCTTAACGATCATCGGTGAACGGTTAAAGGAACACGATGGGCAAATAGCGGTATCGGGCAGTCTGTCGGTCTTGCTGGATTCTCTACTTTGCGCACTGGGTCCTTTGATTTGCCTAACACAACAGGTACCAGAAACTAATGGAGCTAAACACGAAACACTTTCGCAAATGCTCGACAATATTGCGTATCTTATGCCTGGTTTGTAATATATGTAAAAATAATGAAAAAGATAATCTAATAATATACAATGTAAATATATCGATAAATTAAATAGACATACATAATTGTTAAATGAATTAAGAATAACGAAGAAATGATATAGTTTTGTTTGCTACAAAAGGAGAGAATTTTAAAGTGAAATCTTTGTTATATTTTCTCTGCTTATAAAAGTAAGAAGTTTTATATAAATAATATGTTTGTACAAAAAATTACAATAAACATTTGAATAATTCTATAACTAACTGTACACGAAAAATAACTACAATCACTTATTGTGGTAAGATTGGGGGACACGTACAGAATAGATTTTTGTCTCCATATATATCATCTATCCTTCCAACACTCGGCCAAATCTTGTTGCTTCCTTTTACAAATGGCTGTAAATAAATATGAATATAATTTATTTATTATTCATTCTCTAATGAATGTCAAGTATAGTCACTTACAGCTGGAAATGCTGCCAATTCTCGTGAATATGGTCTATCCCATTTACTTGATATTACTTGTTCTTGAGTGTGTGGTGCCATTTTCAATGGATTGTTAACAATGTCTAATTTACCATCTTCTATATTATCAATTTCTCGTCGTATATCTACAAAACAAAACTTTTGAATGTCTATTGATATCTTTCTTAAAAGGGAAACAAACGTTTTTAGTGAATATATTTAGTATTCTTACAAATCAAAGCATCGCAAAATCTGTCTAATTCTCTTTTGTCCTCGGATTCGGTTGGCTCGATCATTAATGTACCCGCAACAGGCCAGCTCATTGTTGGAGCATGAAAACCATAATCCATTAATCTTTTAGCAATATCTACGGCCTCAATATTTGCCGTTTTCTTGAGATCCCTTACGTCCAAAATGAATTCATGCGCTACCAATCCTGTCTTTCCCTTATATAGTGTCTTGTAATACTTTTCCAGTCTTTTACTCATGTAATTTGCGTTTAGAATAGCAATTTGGGTAGCTTTTCTTAACCCGTTTGGACCCATCATTTTAATGTAAGCCCATGAAATTGGTAGAATAGCTGATGATCCGAAAGGAGCAGCTGATACAGCGCCACTTTGTTTTACGTTGTTATGACCATTACCCGAACAATTAATTACAGGATGAGATGGAAGAAATGGAGCAAGATGCCGTTTTCTGTACGTAAAAGTCATCATTTGTATTGCATATTTACATTAAAATATCAAAATAACGTTACTTACACTCCAATAGGACCACTTCCAGGCCCTCCACCGCCGTGAGGTATACAGAATGTTTTGTGTAAATTTAGATGCGAAACGTCACTGCCATAATCACCAGGACGACATAGACCAACTTGAGCATTCATGTTAGCACCGTCTAGATACACTTGACCTCCAGCTTCATGAACCATATCACAAATATCAGCGACGGTCTCCTCAAACACGCCGTTCGTCGACGGATATGTTATCATCAGACAAGACAACGTCTCTCGGTATTTATCGATCATTTCTGTAAGATGTACGATATCCACAGAGCCGTCTTTCTGTATGAGGATAGGCTTCACTTGCATACCGGCCATTTGAGCAGAAGCAGGGTTAGTGCCGTGAGCAGAAATGGGAATCAAACAGACTTGTCGATTCTTGTTTTCATTTGACTCATGATAACGTTGTATAGCTCTTAGACCGGCGTATTCCCCCTGAGCTCCACTATTCGGTTGAAAACTTATGTTATCGTAACCAGTTATAGCGCACAAATCCTGCTCCAGTTCAGCAAATAGCTGTTGATATCCTTTGGTTTGTTCAATAGGTACAAAGGGATGGATATCGGTGAATCCACGTAGACTACATGGCATCATCTCCGTCGTAGAATTCAATTTCATCGTACAGGATCCCTGTTCAAATAGCCAAAAATATAACTGTGTTGACGATGGTGTAGAATGTATTTTTATATGACTCATTCAATTACCAGTGGTATCATACTATGTACGAGAGATACATCCTTATTCTCTAAGGACTTCATGTAACGAACTATCCTTGTTTCGGAATGATAGCTATTGAATACAGGATGTTGCAAATACGGCGTAGAACGAGCGAAATGGGATTTATTGAGGTTTCTTTCTAGGCAAATGTCTTCTCTACACATTTCTTCAACGGTTGTATCCACACAGAATATTTTAAAGATATCATTTATATCTTGTTTCGTAGTAGTTTCATCCAGAGATATTCCAACTCCGTCCTCGTAATACCTGAAATACATTACTCTTGTAATACCTGTATTTTATTCGTTTAAGTTATTTTCTGGTAAATTACCTAAAATTTATTTTAAACGCAATCGCATTTTCTTTTATAATTTTTGAAGGCACTGTAGGTAATAATTTTATAGTGTCAAAAAAGTACTCATTGACCACCTTATTCCCTGCTTTTTCTAAACCTTTTGCTAGGATCAGGCTAAAGAAGTGTACCCTATTTGCAATATTTCTTATTCCTTCAGGTCCATGGTACACAGCATACATCGCAGACATATTTGCCAGTAGTGCTTGTGCAGTACAAATGTTGCTAGTAGCCTTATCTCTTCTGATATGCTGTTCGCGTGTTTGAAGGGCTAGGCGATACGCATCCTGACCGTTCGAGTCTTTCGTAACACCAATCATCCTTCCCGGCATCAAACGAACTAATCTTTGACGACAAGCGAAGAATCCAGCATGAGGTCCTCCATATCCAAGTGGAACCCCGAAACGTTGACTGGTACCAACGCATATATCAACTCCAAATTCACTTGGAGGCTTGAGTATGGCCAGCGCCAACAAATCAGCAGCAACGCAAACGAGCGTCTGCAATGAAACGCATCAAACGTAATTGAATTTATTTGTTCAAGGATTTCAGATCTCGAAATACATACATCGTCCGCGTGTGCCTTCTTCACGACATCTTCGAATGCGTAGATAGATCCAGTTGTGTCAGGATATTGGAATAGGATACCAGCAACGTCCTTTGAGCTGGTATCAACTCGAAAAATATCTCCGATGTCAAGATCGAGACCCAAAGAAGTAGCACGCGTTGCAATCACGCTGATTGTTTGAGGATGAACTTTGTCAGAAACGAACAGTTTCTTTCTCTTGTTGCTCCTGTGAGCAAGACCCAAAGCCTCGGCCGCCGCGGTACCTTCATCCAGAAGAGATGCGTTCGCTACTTCCATCCCGGTTAAGTCGCATATCATCGTTTGGTAATTCAGCAAACCTTCGAGTCTACCTTGCGAAATTTCTGATTGGTATGGAGTATATTGTGTTGTCCTATAATAGAACTTTTTCAGTTACTGTAGCCGCGTTAGAATCAGCGATAAATCGCACTCTCTAAGAAACATACCATCCTGGATTTTCGAATATGTTCCTCATAATGGTGTGAGGAACGCAACAATTATTATACCCCATGCCAATATACGAACGCCATACGTCGTTCTTTTCCGAAATCTGTGTAATCTTCTTTAACAATTCGTATTCAGCTAAAATGTAATTGTCATTTTATATATCTGCATATCTGCTCTATCAGAATATTAGGATATATTTGACATTTTAGACGAAAGTGTTACAATTAATTTTCAGCGTTCAAAAATCACGTGAATGCTAATCTGACCGCACGAGATTGAACTCTGACCCAAGATACGTTCATTTCACGACGAAAGGCCATCTTATTTATGGAACATAATGAAACTAGTGCATGTTTCAACAGAAAAACCTGTCCCATTTTTTAACACAACTAATTCATCGGCTTATTAAAATATTTAATATGCAAAATTTTCATAAATCATGAATGAATATACTTCGAGAATGTTTGTTGCTCATCCACTGTGTTCATTTCAATATCATGGGGTTATCAGTTTACACGTGTTTCATATCTACAGTCGCGTGACTTCTCACGTTTCTACGTATTGTAACAGTTTCTTTTTCAACTGCTGTAGTATATTATTTCAAATAAGTTACACATTTTACTTACTGACTGACTGTTCAATCTTTAATTCTTCCTTGTAAAGAATTTTTGCCGGGATAGCAGCGTTTGTTAATTCTTCCAAACTCTATTAAATTAATTAAATAACTTAATGACTATCTTAAAATAATGTTTCTATTACTAAGTTAAAATACTACCTTGAAGCCAATAGTTTCCAACATTTCCAATTGTTCATACTGTCGAGGACCGATATGTCTAATTTGAAATTCATCTTTTTGCAGAAGAAGTTCACCAACATTTTCTTTTTGCAAGTTATTCAACGTTAATCCATGTGCGTGTAATCGATGTGCATTACGTTTATTTAACAATCTTGTACACTTTGCTAACTTAAAAAGATATGACATTGTAAATTGCAAAATAAAGACTTGATAATAACTACTTTTCTAATGGCAGAATTAAACACTATAACTGCTTGACAGATTCCAGGCAACTAAAGAGTATACTAAAGGAAACAGAACCTTTATACCCTAAGACGCATCATCTAGTGATGTCATAACGCTGATTATAGCTTTATCTTTTGTGACCCTAAGTTGCCAAGTATCTTGAACAATATTGGAAAACTACCTTTGCTCATGTATTATTGTAGTATGGTAAAAGAAAAGAGTTTGATTAGGGATCGGTTGAAAATAGAAAAAACCGTGTCATCGTTTTTCTGTGGTTAGTTTACATCGAAGAGCGCCTATGTGACTAAAGTCATCTAGTGTTTGCCAAACATGAGCGGGCAGAGATACGAGAAAAACAATACAGAACGCTAGGGCAAAAGGACGGTTTCGGGTTCAAGAAGCGATAGATCAGAATATGCGAGTCGAAAAGTGAGTGTGAGTTAGAGTTGATCGAGACATCGAAGAGTAGAGTCATTAGAGTTGATCGAGTTGTCAGTGTTGTAGAGTTGTTAGAGTTGCTAGTGAGAGAGAGAGAGAGAGAGAGAGAGTGTGTGTGTGTGTGTGTGTGTGTTAGATTCGTTGTGACGAGAGTTGCCAAATATCTGCAAAGTTATTTGAGATAGATACGAGTATCGCATTTAGTTTCAGTTAAACAAACATCGTTTTCTGTCCAATCGATACCTGTATATTCAATTCATTATTAATAAATTGTAAATAATCGGGGAAAAATTTATATTTTAATTTCCACCACACTACAACTACGGGCTCGTCCGGGATTGAATAAGACAGAGAACGACACGTTTCAACGGAGCTATTTGTGCTAGAGTAGAAAAAGAATAAAAATGGCAAACGTTGAAGACGAACGATTGTCGGGTGAAGAGGATTTAACGCTGGAGGAGCTGAGCAGTAAGCTCGCACAGATGAATTTGCCTATATCTGGTGCGAGGTCAGTGTTGGTTGCCAGGCTGAACAGAGCGTGTAGGGCTGACCGATCTACTCCTAAGGAATCGAAGTGTGGCGAAGAACCAACAAACCAGCGAGACCTAAGGAGCAGGCAGAGAGCCGTCAAGAGGGAGAGGAAGACCTCGATAAGCTGAGGACGAAAGAGTTGAGAGCGCGCCTCGTTAGCTTGGGGTTGAAAATAACGAGAAGAAAGACTACAGGCGGTCCTAGAAGGAAACGATGTATCGTTGGAAGAAGAAAGCGACGACGAAAGTGAAGACGAGGACGATAAAAAAGACGTGCGAGAATATAGGAGAGGCATGCGAGCGGTGTCATCAAAAGGTATGCGTTGGTTCAATATTGAGTCTCAAAGACGTAGAGAATTCATTAGAGAAATTCAGCGGGGATGATCTGCTGAGTGTAAACAGTGAGTAGAAGACTTCGAAGAAATGGCAGAAGTGTGGGGTTGGTCGGACGCCCACATGGTGGCCTATGCCAAGAAAGAAATTATACACCCAGAAAATTTTCGACGAATATTTTGATGGATAATGAGTCGTACGATAATATAGCGATACATGTAGTTTTAGATACCTTGATGCAACACTCGTTGATAATCGGCACAGACTTCTTCGATACTGTGGAATTAAACATAAAGGAAGGAAATGCTTCTATTCGTAAAGTAGAGAAAAAAGATTGCAATAGACTCCCGGAGGTGTTTAAAGTAGATGCAGCAATACGAAGTAATAGATCAGTCTCAATCTGACTTTGCAATCCCGATCATAGTTGAAATAAGGAACGGATCTCTTCATGTTCCTATCGAGAAGAATAGTAGAGAATGTACAGCAGTTGTAGTTCCCACGAGTGCTTGTTTCGAGGGCACCGTCATATCGGGCAAAATTTTATTAGATGAATCGGTCGCGACGAACATAATCGCGGTAGCGTCGGGTGGAAACGACACAGACGGTTGCGATGAAGTTTTCGTAGGATGTACAGAGTATCGTGCGGATTCTAGAGACGAACAAACAAATTCTGACGCGAATTCTAAGAAGCGAATGAAGAGCGAGAATGAGGCGGCTACGGAAAAATTTGAGGTAGTGCGAAGGCGAGCTATCAAGCCGACCTCTTGTCGGCGAAGGGTGTTTAACAAGAGACGCATGAAGGTGACAGCATACAGGACGGGAGATCTAGTGGCGATCGAGAGGACGCAGGGCGGTCCCGGGCTAAAGCTGCATCCGAAGTTCCTTGGACCGTATCGGGTGGTAAAAGTCCTGCGAAATGACCGATACATAGTGCAGCGAGAGGGCGAGCACGAAGGGCCACGTACAACTTTCACGGCAGCCGATCATATGAAGCGGTGGAATGTTGATGATAGTGATGTAAGTGCCAGTAGCGATGATGAGCACATCTGAGGGCAGATGTGATTGTCAGGAAAGGCCGAATGTAGTATCGTAAAAGAAAAGCTTGATTAGGGATCGGTTGAAAATAGAAAAAACCGTGTCATCGTATTTCTGTGGTTAGCTTACATTGAAGAGCGCCTATGTGACTAAAGTCATCTAGTTCTAGCGTGCAGAGATACGAGAAAAACAATAAAGAACGTTAGGGCAAAAGGACGGTTTCGGGTTCAAGAAGCGAAAGGTCAGAGTATGCGAGTCGAAAAGTGAGTGTAAGTCAGAGTTGATCGAGACATCGAAGAGTAGAGTCGTTAGAGTTGATCGAGTTGTCAGTGTTGTAGAATTGTTAGAGTTGCTAGTGAGAGAGAGAGAGAGAGAGAGAGAGTGTGTGTGTTAGATTCGTTGTGACGAGAGTTGCCAAATATCTGCAAAGTTATTTGAGATAGATACGAGTATCGCATTTAGTTTCAGTTAAACAAACATCGTTTTCTGTCCAATTAATACCTGTATATTCAATTCATTATTAATAAATTGTAAATAATCGGGAAAAAATTTATATGTTAATTTCCACAACACTACATTATGTTACATGTATGTTTACTTTACACTTTATCCAAACAAATAAGATTTAATTAAAACAATTAATACTTATATTTCACATAAATTAAACTTTATTTATGGTAAATGAAGTCAATTATAAAAGCGTGTATGTTACAACTGAATATTTTATGAATTTGTTAAGGTACAAGAAACAATTCATTAAATAACAATCAATCAAACACATTTATTTCATAAATTTATCTTTATTCTGTGTAAGAATTTTCGCAGAGGATTTTGCATCTAAGAACAATGATCCTACTTCTTCGATGTCTTCTTTTTTAATTATTGTTCTTTCGTTTACTTTGGCCGTTAATGCCGCAGGAGTTAAAAGTTGCACTACGTATCTAAGCGTTGTTTTTGTACCTAATTCACCGAGAGCTGACAGAGCTTCATCTTCGATTTGCAACCCTTCCGTAGTGGCTCTTAGTTTAACAATTTGTTCTATTTCCTTTCTAGAATATGGAAGCGTTCGTATGATTAACAATCTATCTAAGAGATCGAGAGGTATTCCATGTGGTGATACGATATCTTCAGTTCCTCTGATTATGCAACGACCTCGATTCGTTGCAAAGATAACTATTGGCGCAATTGCGCTTTCTAGTGCACGATGAAGATATGTAAATGTCTCTATATCCAACATGTGAACTTCGTCTATGAATAAAACTCCCGGTACTAATTCCGCAATACCTTGATCAATGTATTTATTTACAACTTTGTTTATTTCTTTGCGCAATTTATCTGTAATATACAATTTTAGTTTACGTTTAATTTCAAATAAAAATACACAAATATTTTTTAACAATTTCAAATTATGTTACCTGTAATTTCTGTCTTTTTAGGTTTCATTAATTGACCCATCATAGACATAATATCTTGACCTCCTTGTGGTTTGGCGTTAGCAACATCCAGATCGTGCAATGTTACATCCTGAATGACCTCCTTTTTTTTATGTACATCACCTTTAGGTAAAGGAACATACTCTTCTGCTTCCAAATCAAATTCAGTAGCAAAATTATCGCTTCTGCCCTGTCTCTTCACAGCACCATTATTTGCCTCAATGTAAATTACATCTCCAGTTTCAACTTTTTCCTTTTGCAAGGATTCGTATATGGATGGATCTAATTTCAACTGCTTAGTACCTTTAGCTGTTTTTAGTCCAATTACCACATGTGATACTGTTTTCCCATATCCACCCATAGGATTTTCTGTTTCAGATGGAGTTAGTTCTGTAACTTCCCCTTCGTATACTTCCTTAGTCTCTTTGATTCTGAGACCAATGGCTCTTCTAAAATTTTCCATCAAAACTTCTGTCTTTTTTATTTCAGAACTATAGACTTCCGAGCCTACCATGGGACAGAATGGTACTTTGTTACCCAACTCTTGAGCAATAGCTAATGCAATTGCAGTTTTTCCAGTACCAGGGGGACCAGCTAATAGCACTGCTCTACCAGCCATTTTCTTTGATTTTATCATGTCAACTACTACCCCAGCTGCCTAAAACACATATAATAAGGAAAAATCGTTTTTATAAGCGCCTTTTTAACATTGTTCCAAAACGAAGTTCTCATACAAAAATATTTGATTTTAAAAATTAATTATTAGCACCAGCATATTTTAACAAAAAGATGTTCAAAACGATTTTTATTATTTTTTTTATTTATTGGTATGCGAATAATTCTAACCTCACGAGCCTCCTCTTGACCGACAAGACCTGCTGCAGCTTGTATTGCAACTCCATTCTCGTCAAGACCTAATCCTTTTATGTGTGTATGAGCTGATATTCTTTGAGTCTTTGCGGTACTTTTTACTTCTTCGATCTTCATTTTCCTTGTAAATACAAAGATCTTAGTACTAGGAAGCACGTTGCATAAATACTTGTTTGATTGATACAACGTCTATCCCCACTACATTAAATCGTCATGGAAACAAAGTTTCAGGGATTGGCACATAGGGAACGTTACTAATTGGAGACGATAAAAATCATGGTACCGCGAAAATTAAATCTTTTCTCTAGAACCCCAAATTTCATTTCTATTTAATTAATTAATACTGAATCAATTAAAAATTGCATGAATGAGTGAAAAAATTATGAAATATATCGTACGAAGTATGTAATAAATATTATTATAAATATATATTATAAATATATATAGTTAGTAGAATACCAAAGAAGTTCCTCTCTGATATTACATTGGCGATTTCCCTATTCATCTCTGCTCTGGGTCAACTTATATGAAGGTCGCGATTAATTCTCTTCCTCAACAATAGATGTCTTATAAACGCATCATTTTCTCCAAAGTACTCGCATACGTAGTCAGTTTCTATATAAAGATGTTATAAGACATGTACTAATGGGTCCGATACACCTGGCACAATATTCGAGCAAGTCCATATAATTTAAAAGTTTCCCCATTGATTTGACATCGTTGAGTTGTGTTCATTCACACACACACAGGCTCTAGGTGTGACGTTGACCTCTCCTTTTGGTGTTTATGTTATCTCTTTTTTTTTTAATTTTTATCTCTCAATAGATATATTCTATTTATTAAAAAAATTGAAATAACAAGGAAAATGAAAACTATGTAATCAGACAATTTAATCTCTATTAAATCGTATATGAATAGTCATACAAAATCATATTTTATACAATGGTTTTCTCTCTTTGTCCTCACAATCTGGTACTACAACCCGAGTATCCTTCATCTGAAATGGAAATTTTATTTATAAACTACTCTTTTGTAATGTTCTATGCTTATAAATTTATTGTATTCACCTTAACATGAGCATACAAAATAATGCCAACCAAAGTTAAAGTTATACCAATTACTTGATTCATGGCCAGTGTTTCATGGAAAATTAACGAGCCACCTAAAAGTAATAGGCAGAATTTGGAATGTCCTACCATGTTGTAGCTAATTAATAAATAAGGAATAATAAGAAAAATAAAGAATAATAAGATGTTAGATCTCTTCTTTCATAAAGTAGAGTGAAAGGATACGTTAATGGAGATGTTTTTCCAATTATCCAATAGGAAGTTAAGTTAACAAAAAATGCTATTATAGATGATAGTACAACCATGACCTACAAAAAAGGGACACTCAATTATCTAATTCTATTCCTTTTCAAATCCAATGAACAATATTCTTTGACATAACTATATCTAAAAGTGACCAACTTCTTGTAAATGTTTGTTCTACAGGCTCTAAAAATGGCACAATAAAGAACAACATAACAGCAGACAGAGGTGCTTGATAATACAACAATTGCATTGGATCCATTTGAAACTCTCTTTGCTTTATATTTACCATCTAGAAACATTAAGATATTTTAAGTAAAATTTAATAAGTGCTGTATAAAAAATAAAAGCCATACCACTTGGTATAAGGATGTTACAAATACTCCCATGATTGCGTATACTGTTCCGATAATATTAAATTGTATATCATAGCAAAAATTAATTACTACTCCTAATATAATAGGAATTAATGTTAATTTAACAAGTATACTAAATTTTTTATTATAAAATATTATTTGCATTATTATCACGCAAGGTGTAGTTAGCATTTTAGCTACTTGATAAGTTCCAACAGTATTGTGTGCTAAACTTAAATTTGTTAACATAACAAATCCACAAAATGTCATTGCAATTAAAAACATTTCTTTAATCGCAATATCTTTTATACAAAATACATCAAACTTTTCACAAATTGTTAATCCGATAAAAGTAATAACAAAGTGTATCATAGATAACGTAATGTTTGGAAAACCAGTATGAACGTAGAGCCATTTATTCAATAATACAATTACAATGGAAAAGAATATATTCAGTATCAAATAGAATGCCGTGATAATTTTTTTATTCATGTCTTTTTTCCACTGTTTTATATTATTAATATATAATCGGTAAGCTAGTTGTTATTGGTTATGTTTTATGCGACAATGATGCTTAATGCATCTTAATTTTGATAACAGGTCTAATCAAATCCATTACATCCTTATTCGTATCGTAAATTTTTTTTCATTTATATTTATTTTTTATAAGCATCATTTTGATCGAATTTCTCATAAAATACATCATCGTTTAAAATTTCAATATGTACCGGGAAAAACACTGAATTATGCAAATTAGCAACAGAAGGTAAAGTCGAGGGCGCCAAACTGAGAAGCGCGAAGCGTGAAGAAGCGTGACACTCGGTGCACCGATGTTTGGTGCCCGCTAAAATTTTGAGCAATAGTGCAATATGATTTAAAAGTTAAATTGACATAATACTTATTCATAAACAAAGTAAAAAATGGAAGAATTTCCTTTGGGATATCGAGAAGTTGTGCCTGATCAAACTGTACCAGAGAAATGGAACGAAATCACGTTGAACACGGGTATGTAACCATAACCTTTTTATTTTCATGGAACACACGAAATTATTCTTTCAAAATAATTTAAAATCAATTTCTTTATTGTATATCAAAGATACTTATTTTCCATTTATGAGAGCATCTATTAATTATGAGAATATTACGCTTTAAACCTTATAAATTGAATTCCTAACCTTACTTTTCAAATAGAAAATAGTTATACAGTACCTGTCTCTGTAATTATATTATTTTATAGGCGGAAGCCAAAGTACCTTACAGGACATAAAAGTTCCAGAGAGAGCAGGAGGCTATTCATACAATGATGGCTCGAAATATTTTACACGGAATCGATTTATTTATTGGCGTATTTGTCATGATGTACTTGAGTTGGTTGAACATAGTCTAGATATTAATTTAGCCAACTGTAGAGTAAGATATAAGTTTACAGATACACCCATTTTGGATGGCATTTCCATACATGAAACAATTAATTCAGTCATTATATTAATAGCAACCGTTTCTAGTGTTCATAAGTTATCATTTCCTCATCCTGAAAGAATTCATAAAAATGTAAGTAGCTTCCAGAAGATAGTAATTGAATATTGTATTATTTTAGATATTGCATTAACAAATTGTTATTTTATAGGAACACTCATTAAGTACATATAAAGATTTAGGTACACAGTCAATATTTAGTGAAATGTCTGCGCAGAATGTGAAAAGAACTAAGGAAGATCCACATATGTTTCATGTTATCACAAATGCAGGAACTACAAGTTAGTAATTCGTGACAGAATTTAAAAAATAACTTTTTTTAAATATAGTATCCACAGCAATTATTTTAATTTTGTCCTTTTTTCTTTTATAGATTCTCCAGTTCCTCATGCAGCTGCATCATGGCTTATTCCACCACAAGAAGCACTGTTTGCTCTTGCTTATAATTCTGGAACTATACTTCTCCTGAGGCTAGATATAAAAACTGGCCTTGTACATAGCAGTGAATTAAAACAAGATTCAATAGTGCCAAGATTTCTTAGTGGTATTGCAACTGCTTTCAGAGGACGCAATTCTGAAGCCCATGTGGCTATGTCATTAACAATACATAGTTGTGAAAGTGATACATATCTGTTTGCATTGTGTCGTGAAGGTAATATCCGTATGTGGTCTTGTAACAAAGCTCAATGTGTGGCCGTGACTGATACGGCGATAGATAATCGCATTGCTTCGCAAGGTGCACAAGGTCATATATTAAGAAAAGCATTGGGTCCTAATAATGAATTATACTTGGGAACTTTTTTAAAATTTAGTACTAGATGTGAATTTAGTATTTTAAAACCAATTCAAGATAATGGGATGTTTAAATTTGTTAGATTATGTACCAAGTTCGCGCAAGATGTATGTACTATTCACATTTATTCATATTGATTACAAATTAGTTGCCATTTAAAACAACTTTTATATGTATTAATCTTTACAGCAACATTTAGTTGACTTTTTCTTTACCACTACTCGATTATGGGCTGTTTGGAGAACCACTGATATGGATACAGTTGAAGTAACGCATGCTCAATTATCATTGAGTGGTGGACGCGTTAATTCTGAATGGGAAGCTGCGATTCTAGAACAAACGCCAGACAGAGACTACATTCTTAGTGATGCTGATACTGATCCAAGACAAGCATATATCAATTACATTTTTCACCCTGGTCAGTTCTCTTTGGCAGATATAACAAAAGCATTGAACATATACAAAAGATCTAATTTTTTGGAAGATAAAATTCTTTCTGCTGCGGAATTGAAAGAACGCGTGTGTATTGCGGTAGAAGCTGAGATACAAGCTGAAATTATGGATTACGAACTTATGGATGAAGATTATTTAGAAATTGCCAATCGTTGTTGGTCAAAATTTTATTCTTGGGTTATACAGTATCATGCCAATAGTACAAGGCCAGTGGGATTGTTGTTACTGCCTAGCGTTTACGGAGTAGTTTTACTTAAAAAGTCGTGCTTCTCGCTTTTGAGACCAATGGAAGCTTTAGAATATTTAATGTTTTGTAATGAAAGATCATATACATCCCGATTCAAAACAACACCGGTTTTGTCACAAGACGAAGATATATGTCAGGATCTTATTACTTTAATGTCAGCATTAGTACTATTAGAAGAACAATTATCTGAAGAAACTAAAACAGCGGTAAAGAGAGAGCTGTATCATTTAAAAAGTCCAGACACTATTATCGATGATTTATTGTCAAAACTGATGTTAGAGTCGGAAGAACCGATTAGTAACTTTGTCACACATCATCTTAGCTGTCACAAATTATCAAATGTTAGAGATATATCCAGCGCTATGGCAATGTTGCTAGAAACATTAACATATGATCTTGGACAACCAAACAAAGTACATCTTAATGATGATCATGATGCCTCGATACTATTACTCAATATAAATCACTTTTTTAGTAGTCACTTAGGCATCTCGGCAATATCGAAAAGTGTAGCACAAATAACACAATTGAGATTTGCAATCTGCAGAAATTTATTAATTTTACAACAAATGATACTACTACGACCTGAATTGTTTGATTCACGATCATTACATTCCATAAAATCATCATTAGCACCTAAGACAGTTGTGTTAATGCAAGCTTATTATGTTGTGACGTGGATATGTGAATCCACAGCATTACCAATGCCTGTACAATCTCTATTAGATTCTAGTGTTCAGCGTCTAGCATTATTGAAACTTGTTGATTCGAGAGCAAATATAGGATTCAAGCAACATCGATCTTCATCGTTATTAGAATTATTTATAGAGAACAGTGGTGCAAAACATGCTCACAATTTGATGGCTCATACAAATTTAGATGCGACCAGTTTAATTCCATGGCATTATGGGATGTTAACGCATATTACTTTCATCGCACAGCTCGTGTATCCTTTCATAAAACTATCGATTTATTTATGCACGTGCGTATATGTTAGTTATATACGTGGTATACGTTTCTTTTTTGTCTTACAATTTTTATATATTTCCTTAATAAAAAATATATCAGATGGCCGAGATCAGGAAATTTTATCTTCCCCGAATGGCTATTGTCTAGTTGTCAGTTCTTGCTGGTTCAAGAGTATGTGAGGCTTCTGAATACATGGTGCGAGTGGAACAGTGCATCGAGGAAATTTATATTAGCAGTCGCGTTACTTGAAATGGGAGAAGCGCATAAAGCTTGCGATCATTTCCTTCGAGCTTCTAGAGGAATTTTGACAGATGAATTTTTAGCTGATGCCTTACTCGAATCTAGCGTACTATCCGAAAATAGTTCGTTAATTCAGTATTACTTAAAAGTTATCAAATTATTTGAGGAACATAATGCCTCCGACTGTATCATAGAGCTCGCTGAAACAGCTATATTAATGGCTGATAAAGATGATCCTAATTTGCCAACACTTCACTCAATAGTATTCATGCAACATTTGAACCTGGGTCACCATATAAAAGCTTACAATTGCTTAAATTCGAATCCGGACGTTGCACGTAGAGTAGATTGTTTGAGACAATTGGTAGTGACTCTCTTTGAACGTAAAAAATTAATAGATTTAATTTCATTTCCTTATGTCGATATGTATGAAGATTTAGAGAGAATAGTAGAAGGTAGAGCCAGGAGTGTGGACCTCATAGAAAATAATTACTACAATTTTTTATATAGCTTTCACATAGATAAAGGGAACATGCGGAAAGGTATTACTTTAACTTATTATGAAATCAGTGTTAAACCTTTTTTCATACAGTAATTGATTTGTTTTACAGCTGCATCAGTGATGTACGAGCAAGCTATGCGATTAAGTCAAGAATCACAATCTGTTGCGATCGTATCAAGGCAAGCTCAGTGCTTGTTAGCTTGTATTAATGCATTACATCTTGTCTCTGAAAAGTATAGATGGATCGTTAGGCCTGTAATTGATCAGAACTATTTGGAGGAAATGGATTATGAAGTACAAACGAGAAGAAGCATCAGTAGCGAAGATATTTTGCATTATAAAATAAAAAAACAAGTCGAAGTTCTTGAATTAAATGATATAAAAAGGGAATACTACATTGTGGATGCAAGATTGAAAGTATCGAAAATAAATTCGGAGTTGCATATTGTTTCACATGCTGGGCCCTCGGAGCTAATTATTATACTACCAACTATTGGATTGTACACGACAGCGTTGCATTTATGCGATGAATTTAATGTTAATAAAAGTTCCGTGCTTGAAAGTCTCGCTTCACAGTGTATACGTTTAAGTCGAGGAGAAGATCCAAACGCATGGGACTGGCTTATTCAAAACGATATATTTGACATTGGTTTATCAAATACAAATATTACAAACACCGCTTGGAGATTGTTAGAATATTTAACGTTGAAACATGAAAAAGATAGATACAGTGAGTTGCATAAAGCAGTCACTCGGAAATTACTTCAAGAAGGAGCGTTTATACCTCAATGGTTATTGATGTCATACAAGGTAAATAATTTTTTAATCATTATATCATATTGTATAATATATTGTTATATTATATTGTATAATAAAAGATCACTTGGTATTTACTATAGAAACGAAATGCTGCCGAACTTCTTCGTCTTATGTTAAATGCTGGTAGAATATTAGAAGCTAGCGAGTTAGGAGTTGAATACATTAATGCTGTTATGGGTGATGGTAAAGAAAATTTCGGTCTTAAAACGCACTTGACATCCGTAACTACACCAGTTTGGTTGCCACTTAACATTTTAGAAGTGCTATTATATGAATTAAAAGAAGTCAAAGAAAATCCTACCTTTTCCGAGGTACGTAATTTTCCTATTGTATACATGTATTTCTTTCACAAAAACATCAATAGAAATATTAATACCAATTTTAGAGCTATCAAAGATTACAAGGAGCATTACAAAGCTACGAACAGAAAGTGATAAGAGTGTCAAAGGATATGATTGAAATAAAATTAAGTAGCAAGAATTGCTAGTAGTAAGTAGAGTACTTATATTAGTGGTTGATAAAATAATACTTTGTTTTTCTATTATAAAAAAATATACATATAAAAATATTTAATATGTGCGGATGTGTAATTGTCTCCGCTGATGATACAACTATCTTTACACCAGTCTTTATCTATAATGTTTTAGGAAAATCTATACTATAAAAGATAAAATTTTATGTCACATATTTGGAACAATAGTATTAAAGATTGTCAAGCATAAATCGGTGCATGACTAATTGATATTACCGTCGTAAATACAATAATGACGCCAAGAATCGCTGCGACAATCACGGCAACCATTTGTGGACATCTTTTGAACAAAACCTGAAATAATTGTAAATTTAAAATGACCGTCATTTATGAATATAATTTATAACAATTGATTATTTTGTTATGAATATATGAGAAACTATGAACAAAATATTACCATCAAAATAACTATCAAAGCAAGAACGAAGATTGTTCCGACAGGTAGAAGAAAAGATGCTGCCCAATAATGTCTCTGTATTTCGGGATCTAAAGAAAATCATGAACAACTTGTGGTAACAAAATTATGAAAGAGAAATTAACTTCTTAAAACTGTGTAAAGATACAATATCGGAACTTATTAATCTTTATCCTATATGGAGATATCTCACCATTGCGCCAATGAGTTTTATATACTTCGTAAGGAGGTATGCGAATTCTCCTTATGATACTCTTATTTGTTATAATTACAGAATCAAGGAGATTTTGCGTATTTACAGATTGTACTCCACTTGCGAACCAGTCTCCTATAATGTACATAGTTATTATAACAAGTTTTATCTCTATTTTCGCGTGCTCAAAACGTTAATGTAAATGCAATTAAGAAAGCAGGTTCGGTTCTATATAACTATAATCCAATATCAACATTTCGCGTCAATAAAAAGCTATTATTTGTACTACAGTATACGAGTGCCAACAATAATAATTATTGTATATTGTAGAGTTAGTTAGGATATACATATTTGGGGACAAAGAATTACTACCATTTTCCTCAAGCTGTTTCTATAAAACTGATTTTTATATTTGTAATCATAATTAGCTGTATTTTACCTCGTTTATTATTCCAACAATGCCTATTACACTGATATTTTTATTTAATTTGTTGTAATAGTCTGTGGTCTTACTAAGCTACTAAGAGGTAAATACAAATTTATAGTAGCTGTTTACCATAAAATAAAATACTTTTATATAATTTATAATAAAAATGTATTCAACATGTTGGAAATAGTATAACTACATTTGTATAAACTGGTGTTTTTATGTAGAATATTTTTTTACATTAAATTTTTCGTCAAACTTTGTTACTAAACACGAGAAAAACACTAGTTCATAGATAGGTACATCTACTTTCATATGTGTTAGCAGTGTATGTATTCGCGTATAAGTTAGATTTTAAGTACTATTATTTTATTGATGTCTTATGTAAAACATGCCGTGTTTAAGTTTTTAATAACTAGATTTATTAGCTTATAAATGAGTACATACAATAAAATGTTAATGTGTGTTAGCAATACTTACCCCAAATCATAAACATTGTTGCATATTAAGTACAACAGTTCAATGACCTGAGTGTATCTTTTGATTTGTAAAAACTGCTGAATTTGATTCCTTCAAACACAATTTTCTACTTCGCGCAAGAAAATTGAATGTATTTTATTTACGTTTCACAATTGGGATAAACGAATGAATAATTAAATCGTAATTCTAATGATAAAGATAATTAAGAAAAACAGAAGATGATTAAAGCTACGTTATGTCGACAAATTTACATAGTAGAAGTTTTATAAAAGCTTATACGATTGCAAAATGTTAAATAAATCAAGCAAAACAACTATAATATTATTACTTTATTTATATTATTACTAATATAAAATGAGAATTAACATTACAATATGTGCAAAACTTGTGCATTAAATTATCTCGGGGTTCGCAGATAATGCATATACAGGGTGTATAAAGAATAATTTTAAGTAAACGACGCAATATACGCGTGAAGAATATACACGCGTCTGAATTACATTTCTATAAAGAAATTATTAATTTAAATTAATTTCTATAAAGAAATTAAAAAATAAATAAAAGGCGTTCGAGCTATAAGAAATACATGCTTGTTTTTTGAATACCCTATATGAGATGTATATATACGAACTAGCACGTTGCATACTTTCAGTAACATGGCGACATTGAATAGGATTGTTTGATTTGTTGATGTTTTGTATGTAAGATCGAATTTGTAAAAAAATTTTTAAAATGATAAAGATATCGGCGTTGAACGAAGAATCCAGCGAAGAAAGTGAAGAGGAGGATTTACCGAGTATCACGAAAGAAGCTCAAGTACGTATCAACACTGTCAATTTTTTATTTCTTTAAGAACTTAACCTATGAATTTCTCAGTTATTAAAACATGGTTAATTTCTATCGGTGTTCAAATTTTATATAAAACTATACACAGAGAACATTCAGATTACATATCTATTTAGAAAATTAAATATCTATAATAATCTGTCTTAATTTACTATAATTAATTATATTTTATTTAAGGTTGTTTTGTTTTATAGATCATTTTATAATCGAAAAACACATTGTTTAGTTAAATAGTCATCTATGATTCATGTAAACTCTTGAATCTGTTTCCTTTGAATTTTTATTCTTCAGAGGAACTAAAATTTATTGTTCATTATTAATAACATATGTTTCATTAAACTCTAAAAAATTGGATTTGTTTATATCTGTTTCAGGAACAAATAGCTCTTACCGAATATAATAAAGCTTTAGTATTATTAAAAGAAAATAAACAAGAAGATGCACTGCATATTTTTAAAGATCTTTTAGAAACTGAATTGCTGGATGAAGTTGAAAAACCTGAAATACCTGATGGTAGATCTAGGCCAATGTTGTCATTAAAATATTCTTGCTTCAAGAATATCGGGGCTATACAGGCCATGTTGGGAAACTACAATGAAGCTGTAGAAAATTACTGGGAAGCAGCTAATTTAGATGATACAGATGTAACATTATGGCATAGAATAGGTATCTTAGCTATGAAAACCTCAAATTTAGAATTGGCATGTTCATCATTTAAGCAAGGTTTAAAATGCAATGCAAACCATTGGCCATGTTTAGATAACATGATAACTGCCTTATATGCAGTTCCTGACTATATGAATTGTCTTTTGTACATTTCTATGGCATTAGAACGTGATCCCAATTATGTAAAAGGTTTAGCTTTTCGTGATAAAATATTTAAAGACATTCCATGCCTTGAAGAATGCTATAAATTGTACAATAGTGACTGGCAATTAGATCCACCATTATATACTCAATATGATCATCAAATAGGAGATAAGTTAATAGCAGAAGCAAAGGATATTGCTAGAAGATGGGCAGAAACATGCAGCGTAGAATTCTGCCCTAAACCATTGCCAGATCTAACACTAAGAAAACCCATAAAAAACTATACTTGGTTAGATTTAGGAGAATGTTTATTAGATATGCATAGATATATTACAGAAAATAATTTGAGTTTTGTTAGTAGAATTAATCTAACTGTTCATAATTCTGAAGAAACAGCCAAAACTCATACTGAGGGAGATACTCAGGGAAATAATGATGTTAATACTGATCAGGAAGTATTGCAAAATACCATAACAGAGAATGAAAATGAGGTTGAAAAATCAATGAAGATGGAAATAGATGATGCAAATTCTCCATGTGAAACATTTGATGACAATCAATGTGGTGGTGCTGAATCTATGATGGATATTGAAATAGAAGATGATAAAAAATCATGTTCCAGTGATGTACAAATAATAGATGATGAAGACCTTTTGAGAATTTCAGATACTGATGCTGTACAATTTGAAGAACAAAGTCAAGTAAAAAATGATTTAGATGAACAAAATAACTTTGAAGTAAATGAAAATGGAGATAAATTACAATTGGAGAAAATAATGGATGATGCTGGTAATGAAGCACAAAATGATAATATTAGTGATAAGGATAGTAACAAATCCAATGATGAAAAAGATTCAAAGAAAGAAGAAGAGGTACAATGTAAGGCAGAAGAAAAATTGAATGAAAAGATTGAAGGAAAAGAAGAAGTACAAAAGGTGAAAAAAAGGAGGAGAAGTGCTCTATGCTTTCTGCAACAATGGGCTTGGAGTTGCAACAGTATGAGACGTTCTGCAAGAGTAAGAAGTTCGAATAGAAGAGAAGCTGAAAGAGATGATGTTCAATTAGAAGAAACTCTTAGAAGAATATTTCCTAGTACATTATTGTATGTATTTATAAAACATTTCTATACTTATGTAACTAATAATCAATATTATATAAACTGTTAATATTTTAGGCCAGATACAGTAAAATTAACCAAAGACGATCATTCTAAAAATATGGACGATTCTATGGATACAATGGATTTATATCAATTGTTTGCTAATCAAGAAAATAATAGCAATACTATAGAAGCAGTTAAAAGTTCTGACAGTTCAAAATCTCCGAGTCCTGAAACAAGGTAGGTCTTATTTAAGGATGAGCAACTGAGTTTTTGCAATAATTAATTTTCTTTCTTCTATAGTCAACAACAAAATTATTTCGGTACAGAATCTGAGGTAGCCGAAGTAAATATGTTCATTAATGAACATAGTAGTAAGAGTAATTTAATGATAATTATAGCAAAATATACGGAATTTTTAAGCACCAAATGGAACCAAGAATGGTCTAAAGAAATATTAGAGATATATTTGCAAGCATATACATTTATGAGGTATAACAAATAAATGTGAGCTTTTCTATGTAAACATGTCTCAGATAATAAAATGCATTTTTTCTTTTCTACAGGGAACACATTCCACATCCATCACCATTTGAAGAAGATATAGATGATGATATTTTGAAACTAGATACTGAAATGACTTTATTATTTGGTGAACTGCATACAGATAAATGGTTAAGCAATAAACCAGACATAGTACCGTTTTCAACGTATGTTTTATTCTGTTTGTTTTATTATACTTCTCCAATTAAAATAATTAAAGAATTCCATTGTCTATTTTAGATTAGATAAACTTGGTACAGGAATGCCATCTGAGGAACTGGGGCATATAATTTTTACAAGTGTTAGGAGGGATATTTTAAATGAAGAAAATATTCTGATATTTCTAAGGGTTTTGTGGCTCAAAGCTAATATCTTTTTGTGCCAAGGAGATACAGACATCGTCATTGAGACTTTAGAATTGGTAAGTAACTTCAATTCCAGCACAAAGAGATTTTTCCTAATTTATCTAATCAGATATTACCTTTTCAGTTGCTAAGTCATATGCAAGAATTGGCGAAACAAAACAAAATGGTTTATTTAAAATTGCCTAATTGTAAATATCATTCTAATATCAGTATTAAAATAGTGGAGAAGAAACTTAAGTCTATCCAGAGAGGGCAGAAATTGAGAGAAATACAAAATCTGTATGACGAAAAAAAATACGCTGAGCTAGCCTACATATTACAGGATACATTCAAGTTCGCAAAACAAGGAAATAAATTTTTATCCGTAAATGATAATATCGTTGATAGAGTACAACAGTTATCCATGTTACTAGATAGTTTATGGCAACTACAACAATACGAAGAATGTTATGTATGGGCGGAAGCTTGCCTCAACGAAGCATGGCAAAATTATTTAAATGCTTCCGATGATATAGAACAAAAGAAATGGACGAGGTCCGTCCTAATGGCACTTGAAAAATTAGAAGCGTGTACAATTGAAGTAAGCACTTTTGTTGTAAAGTATTTACCGGAAGCACGTCTTTCGAGATTAGTACAAAATTTGGTTCACATTGTTTGCAATCAATTAGATGTATCGGAAAATACTGTAGAGATGCCACTTGAAACTGTCTTGCCTTGGATCTTATTGCATTATGTTTTGCAATATAAAGAAGACAAAGAGAGAGCAAAGGCTGAATCGTCATACAAAAATAAGCATAGTTCTAATTATTCTGAATCAGATGATGAGGATGAAGGTGTTCCAGCATCTATCATGATTTTATTTATTGCCCATGACTTTATGGGAAGACACTCATGGTGTTGCTACAACGAAGCAAAACTCTTATTTTTCACTTTAAATTTAGTTATTCCAAAATTGGAAACCCCTCAATTTTCCAGTATAAAAAGTAAAGTTTCAAAATATTTGGAACAAATATTTTATTGTCTATATGGTCATTATAATAAAGTAAACAAAGGGCGACCAAAACATATAGAAGACCATGGAGTACCTCAAATGAAAGTGACTTGGGAAGGAGCACAGTTATTGTTTAATTTTTATAAACCCAAGCAAATACCAGAATTTCATTCACCCAGGACTTTAACAATTAATGCAGACACAGAAGATCTGTTTAAACGTATAATAAAGTTAATTCCTCAAGAAAGCGATCCGAATCAAGTGATTGATGAAATGATGGCTTATATAATGGGTGAACGAGACACAATGCCGACCGTTAAGAAGCTTCTGCCGCATTCCATGTCCACTATTTATTATCTCCTAGCAGATTTTTGTTTTAAAAATTGTAAATGGAGTCCAGCTATTCGGTATTATTTATTGGATTTATGCTTTCATCCAACAAGATTGAGTTCTTGGACTGGACTAGCAATGTCATCCGGCACCGTAATAGAAACCTGGTTAAATAAATATAAACCAGTGTGAGTAGTACTTCAAACTTTTTTATTAATATGATATAACACAAGTTAATAATAATGATTGTTTATTTTATGTTTAGAAATGAAGACTCGCTTTTAGCAAAAGCGAAATTAACCCAATCCAGTTATCGACATGCTGTCGAGTTGGATTCTTGTAATCATATTATTTGGACTGAATACGGGACATTCGCATATGTTGTTCATTCATTTTGTTCACGATTA